GATCTGAGTACTTTTTCCACCACTGCTTAAGATCCAGTAATGGGTTGCTATATCCTGCACCTCACACCCTGAATTATGTTAATGGCTGCAATAATAGTTGTTATTTACAATACATTTGGATCATTAACACATTTCTCTTTTTCTCTAGGTTTTGAATGTGGAGATGCAAACAGTGTACTGAGACTCAATCTACAAGGTACCAATTACTGAAGCACTATAAATTAAAACACGGCCATTTTGGTCAGAGACACCCATATCCATGCACATACTATGAATGCCCATGCTCTTTCAAAACATGGAATGCTCTTAAAACACATTTAAGTAGATGTCATGTTGAATCTTTACCTGTATTAAGTGCAGAGCTATTTTAATAGATGCACATGTATAAGAAAAGAACCTCAGCTGAAATTCTTTGTTTGGTTTACACCAGTAGATGTCCTGTCCTTTCTGCTATGACACTTGATGGATATTATTAGCTTTAAACAAAACATTTTAACCTGTATCACAATGTGTTGCAGGTAAACGCAGAATTCACCCGCATCACCACCGTTCCGCTGCTGCCTACCTTCATGTCTCAACTGGATCGCCATTCGTCTTAGTTGATGAAGGTTTTCAAAAAGGGGGGAACAGCAGGACGCAATTTGGGCCTGATCATGGCAGCCATTGACAAGGTATGTAGTTGTAATAAATTGTGTAGTTTGGGCACTGCAACACCATATTCTCTTTATCTCTCTCTTGTTGTCCCTCTCATATAAATATATTTTAACCTCTCTGACCCCCTTTGCCAAAAATCAGCACACAAGCATAATCAGTATTCTTGTGTGAAGATTTTGAAAATGTGTTTGTCCCTCAGGATCCCACAGTTGAAACACGACGGGACTGTGTCCTTAAAACGCTCTGCGTCTACTTGAATGAAAGTTCCGAGAGCTTCATAAAGGAATATTTGGTAAGTTGAAACATAGCCAAACACAGATATATATATATACACACCTGAACATCAGCAGGAGAGGACTCTTTAAAGTAGAGACACTACATACTGATATACACCTGAACATCAGCAGGAGAGGACTCTTTAAAGTAGAGACACTACATACTGATATACACCTGAACATCAGCAGGAGAGGACTCTTTAAAGTAGAGACACTACATACTGATATACACCTGAACATCAGCAGGAGAGGACTCTTTAAAGTAGAGACACTACATACTGATATACACCTGGACATCAGCAGGAGAGGACTCTTTAAAGTAGAGACACTACATACTGATATACACCTGAACATCAGCAGGAGAGGACTCTTTAAAGTAGAGACACTACATACTGATATACACCTGAACATCAGCAGGAGAGGACTCTTTAAAGTAGAGACACTACATACTGATATACACCTGAACATCAGCAGGAGAGGACTCTTTAAAGTAGAGACACTACATGCTGATATACACCTGAACATCAGCAGGAGAGGACTCTTTAAAGTAGAGACACTACATACTGATATACACCTGAACATCAGCAGGAGAGGACTCTTTAAAGTAGAGACACTACATACTGATATACACCTGAACATCAGCAGGAGAGGACTCTTTAAAGTAGAGACACTACATACTGATATACACCTGAACATCAGCAGGAGAGGACTCTTTAAAGTAGAGACACTACATACTGATATACACCTGAACATCAGCAGGAGAGGACTCTTTAAAGTAGAGACACTACATACTGATATACACCTGAACATCAGCAGGAGAGGACTCTTTAAAGTAGAGACACTACATACTGATATACACCTGAACATCAGCAGGAGAGGACTCTTTAAAGTAGAGACACTCCATACTAATTTGAACCTGAACATTTGCATAATATGTCCTCTTTAAATAAAAATAATTGAATTTGTTTTTTATTCAAAGTATTTGCTGCTACTTTGGTTATATTGTTCATGTACATTTACAACTACATGTATTTATTTACAATGGATCCAATAAAAGGATTTGCTCATTTGTTTCATATTATAAAATGATGTGTGTCAGGGCTAGTTCTCATACTGATAATCATGAATACTATTAGTCTAGTGGGTAGAAGGGGGTATCATGCACCCCCCTGAAATATACTTCTAATCAGCTTTTCTAGATTGGAAAAATTGTGTAGAAAACGATTAGCTATGTTAAAAAGTTGGCAAATTGTCCCACGTATATTTTTTTCCCAAATTAGTGTTTATTTACCCTAAAAATCGAGTTTCACTCTTTTTACACCTTTCACTATATCTCAGCCATTATTGCAGATAACTGAACAAATAAGGTATCCAGATCCATGTTTTGAGGGTCAAGGAACACAATAAAACTATTCTTAAAGTGATCACATGTGTCTGTGGCATGCTATTATGCTAATTAGTGCCGCCATTACAAGAAAATAGCATTTTAGTCTTGTACCAAGAACGGTGTATTTTGCACCGACACAGAAATATACTTATAATCAGTGTTTCCTAAGTGGAAAAAGTATGTAGAAAATGATGAGCTATGTTAAAATGTTGTCTGGATGTCCCACATGTATTTTTTATGCAAATTAGTGTCACCATTACCAAAAACGGAATTTTCACATTTTTCACTCTATCTCAGCCAATATTGCAGATAAATGAACAAATAATGTGTCTAGACCCGTGTTTTGATGGTCAAAGATCACAATAAAACTATTCCCAAAGTGATCACATGTATCTGTGGCATGCTAGTATACAGCGCTGGCAGTAGTGAAAATTCCCGCCTTTTTTCCCGCCAAAAACAAACAAGTAGCTGACTTGGCTACACACACACATTCAACCTTCAAACAAACAAGGTAAGTAGCTAACTCAACTAGACTCATGTGTTTTGTATGTTTTATATAGGTTTCTAGCTTAATTGTTGTTAACACATCATTTTGCAGCCCAAAGTAGGCTACACACTAGAACATGTGTTAGTGTTATTCTGCCCTGCAGAGGCTAACTGCAGTAAAATATGGTAAACTATTAGCTAGCTAACGTTAGCTAACTAACTAACAGTGACGTGAATGAGGGATAGCTAGTGGTGTAGCTTGTTGAATAAAGCTATTAGCTAGGTAGTGCTAGGTAGCTAGCTAGCTGTACAGCTAATGTTAATTAAAAAAAAGGCAGTAATTGTAATGCAAAACTGCAGGGCAGTATTCTTAACCCGTTAAGCCCGATTGCCCCCGGTACCACAGCGTCCCAGGGCTTGTTACAATGTAACAACCTATTAACGTTGCATACCCACTTAACGGGAAGAAACTAAGCTAACAGATGATAATAACCATTTTAACCTAAACGAAACACAATTCCAACACCAAGCGTCTAAATCAGCACTTAACGAACGCTAACGCTAACGCCACATTAGGACATGACTGGCGATTTTTCTACTTCATGCTATCTGCATAAATGACATATCATATGAAAGCTGAGATTTATCAGATTCCATTGGTATAAGTCTCATCACTGTACGACAAAACTCACTGAATTAGCAGCCAGGAAAGAGGGTTTCCATCATTAAGGGGTAGTTTTCACTATAAATAGTGAAATAGGTTATAGGTTTTTTTAGGCGGAGATTAGAATATTTTTTTTTTACTATGTTTAATCTGAATTTACTCTGACACAGCAAGATCTATATTGATTCTGACACTTCTACAGCCAACTCACAGGTGTATCATTGCTTTGATACAAAATATTATTCATATACCCCTTATAGTTGTGAAGATATAATCATTCATTCTGGGCATGTCATTTTTCGAGCCTGAGGCCTGGGCTTAACAGGTTAAACTGTGGAACATGATGGCTGCTCTCAGAACATCTGTTATAATTTTCAAAAGTTCTGATTGTATAACAGATTGTCTTTAGGCGCTTTCACACCGGAGTAATTTTCCCACAATAGTTCCGATGTAGTTCCGAAAAGTTGCGTTCACACCAAAAAAAAAAAGAACTATATTGGGATGCTCACACGCCGCAAAATGTGTGGTTCTGGATATGCAGAGATTCTGTTTGAGGCACAACTAGTGACAAGTGGATCCCTCAAGAAGAAGAAGAAGAAGACACACTTTATTAATCCCTTACAGGGAAATGTCTTTCCCCACTCTGTTGTGTTAACACACATTACACACACAGGGGAGGATATACATGCACAAACACAGAGGATATACATGCACACACATAACCACATGCAGATAGGAGAGGTGGCAGAGCAGAGAGGCTGCCAGGTACCCGGCGTCAAAGGTGTTTTAAGTGGAAAGGCATACGCAAAGTCCCTCTTTTGCCTCAAAACTGTGCGAATCAATGGAGAGGCTGTTGATGGAGCGGTTCATTGAGGAGGAAAGCGTCCTTATCACTGACCCTGCTGCACTTCTCAACATGACCCAGTCTTGCAATCGAGAGCACCTCGATGAAGCCCTCAAAGACCGCTCAACTCTAACGCTCATCGAGAAGTATCACGCCTATGAGGAGAAGGTGCTCAAGGGTCACCTGGGAAAGACAGCTGCCTTATGGATGTCATTTATTAACCACTGTCATCTTGTCTTCATGCTACTCCACTCCGTTAAGACCAACAACATCCAGTTGTTTCACAAATGCAATGGAGAGATGGCAAATATCTTCTTTGCATTTGATGGACACAACTACTCAAGGTTTGTGCTATTTACATGACAATTTACCAAATTTGCATTATGAGACAAGCTTTGAAAATAAATGTTTCTATGTGTAATCTGTGCCTTTCCTTATCTGCAGATATCTGACTTGGCTGGAGGTCTATCTGACAAACCTGGAGAACACACACCCAGGGGCCAAAGACCTGCTTTCTAAGGGTGCAATTGCGGTGGCCCGCTCAATGATACCGGGGGCACTTATGGCGCATTTCCACTACAGCGCGGAGCTCGCTTTAAGCGTGCCGTGTCATGCCGTGCCCGTTTTTGGTTGCGCTTCCACTAGGCCTAGTTACGGCCCGGCCCGGCGCGGGGCCACTTTTTCACCTCTTTTCTGGCCCGACAAAATTGTGGTTCTATCGGGGCCAACAAACAGGGCTGAGTCGGGCTGAGTATGCTAAACTAGAGAGAGGAGCGCTGGCAAGGGGGCTACAACTACAACAAGATGGACATATTTGACCGTGATTTAATTGTAATACACGTTTCAAAATGATGCCGAAGTAACAACATACTGATACCGGTTAGTAAAAACCATGAATTAATGCTTTGTCAAGTCTGCAGACAGACGGCAGGCGAAAAACCTTTTAAAATGCGTGTTTTTCTAGATGGAGATTGGCTAAGCTAACGCAGTATATGCTCCGACCGTCCACACTCACAACAGCATGAAGTGAGTCGGCCCTGTTAAGGCCCAACGCGGCCAAGCCGTACCGAGCCGTATCGAGCGTGGCCGAGGCCGACCGTGTAGTGGAAATGCGCCATTAGTGCAGTCGACAAGACCATGGAGGAAACGTTCATGCGCTTTGCCAAATCATCAGGTACATTATGATATTGAACAGATATACAGACATTGTATCAAGATTATTATATTATATAATACAATTGTATACTGCTCTCACAAAACCACATTTTATTTGATGATTTCTGAATTAAAATGCATGTAACTTATTGTGTGGGAGCAGTAGATCACATATTTGTTTCATACTTTTAAGGTGGCTTCACTGGACTATACAGCCAGTTTGGGGCATACCAGAGGTGGTGTCAAACAACCTCCACACGGGCACAGTTTTATCAAAAGACCCTTGAGATGGTGGACCTCATCAAAGACCCAGACTGCCCAAGGGCGGGGAAACATCGGGAGCTGGAGAAGGCAGAGGTCAAAAAGGGTGAGGAGGCCATTCAGCGAACCATCGTGACAATTAGGAACTTTAGGAACCCCTTCACCATCTCAGACAAGGACAGGCTCTACTCCCTGGCTTCTGGTGCTCCTGTCCTCATGGAGGTCGAGATGGACGTGCTACAAGCAGAAACTGTGGACAAGGCTGCTAAAGCTGAGTTCATCAAACGGCTACAGAGCAGAGAGCCAGCTAGCTTCTTTGACCCAATCAAAAAGAAGAAGCTCAAGACCATGGAAGCTTGTAACAAAAAGGTCACCCTCACATCCTCACAGGGAAAGGTAATGAGATGTTCCAATACCTGAGGTCTACTGTATTATTGAAATTAATTTAATAACCTTTATTTTTTATTGTTGTGACCCCATATTTGTTAATGATACACTATCAATATCATTCCAGGTCATCCAGTATCAGGAGCAAAACAATCTTGCTTTCCTGCTCCTTGTCAAGTCACAACGTGCAGAGGACCCATTGGTCTTGGAGGAACTCATGAAATATCCCCTAATGCCTGTGCCCCCTAGCCTTGGGACACCAGATGGGTTTTTCTCCAAGACTAATAAAGCGGCTCTTCTGCACTACAATCTGGAGGACACCACCCCAAAGGATCTGCCATACCCTAAGGATGCCCTGTTCATCCAGGATGGCATGGCTCTGCTCCATGTCCTCACCAACCTTCCCCCAACATGTGGGGAGATATGCCTACAAGTGCTTGATCAGATGGTGGCCAAAAAGCACTTTTTGTTCTCGACTGACAGTTACCATCCAGGATCTATCAAAGCACAGGAGAGGTTGAGACGTGGCAGTTCAGAGAAGATAATTTTGGCTGGACCAGCAACCAGGAAGCCATATGACTTCAAGATGTTTCTCACAAATGATGACAACAAAAAGCAACTCTGCCAGCTCCTGCTGCGAGTATGGAGTGATCAACAGGCAGCTTCAAGGCTGGAGAGAACAGAAATGGCAGTGCTGATCGTGGAAGGGAGAGCCCATCAACTTCTCTCCTCAAACGGCAAGGTAAATTGAAAGCCCATATTAAAAGTGATTGATGGTTAAATTATACTCTAAGTGATTATCTGTGATTTGTGTCTAGTCTCTGTCATTGTTGATCAAAGTGCAATATCCCATTGTGTATCAGGTTGAGGTACGTGAGCTCCCCACAATCTACAGCAACCAGGAAGAGACTGATACAAGGGTGGTACTCTACCTTCATCATGCTGCTGCCCTTGGGTACAAGAATGCTGTAGTCAGAACACCTGACACAGATATCTTTGTGATTCTTCTTTACCACGCTCATGCCATCAGGCTGACTATATACCTGGATACGGGGTCAGGGAAACATAGACAACTTCTCAACCTCTCTGAGCTTGCAGAATCCCTGGGAGAAGACTACTGTGCCACACTTCTTGGATTCCATGTGTTCAGCGGAGAAGACTGCACCAGTGCCTTCAAAGGGAAGGGGAAGGTGGGGCCCTTGAAAAAGCTGGAGAAGAACCCAAAGTTTCACAGGGCGTTCAGTCAACTCGGTGACAACTGGAATGTCAAGCCTGAGGTGCTGAAGCAGTTGGAGCAATTCACCTGTCTGATATATGGAGAGAGTCGTGAGTCTTCAGTGGACGTAGTCCGTGCCAAGTTGCTGCGCAAAATGGTGGGGCAGGACGATAAACTCACTGCCAAGTCTAAGGTTGACCTGGCTCGCCTTCCTCCATGCTATGATGCTCTGAAGCCGCACGTCCAACGTGTGAACCATCGCGTCGCCCTGAACAAGCGAGCTGATGAATCAATTTTAGAAAAACCAAACCCCTATGATGAGGAGCAGGGATGGATGAGGACTGATGGAGTGTTGAGACCGGTGTGGTCCTGTGGTCCTGTCCTGCCAACCTCCCTGGTTGATCTCCTGGACACGACAGAGCGTGAACAGGAAGAGGAAGAGGAAGAGGAATTTGACTCTGATGATAGCATTGAAAACGATGATTGAGTATTAATCAGATAGTGGAGAGCCAAACCTTGACTGCTTATCTGGAATGGGAAAGAGTAGTCACATCAATACTTATATTATGATGTTTGACCCTTGCTGTAGGCTAGTACAAAACAAATAAATATTGGTTAAATACACAACATCTGTCTCGACACCTTATTTGTTCACTTACTGTACTGCAATATTGGCGTCTCTTAATTTGCATAGCATGCCACAGATACATGTGATCACTTTGGGAATAGTTTTATTGTGATCTTTGACCATCAAAACATGGGTCTAGACACATTATTTGTTCATTTATCTGCAATATTGGCTGAGATAGAGTGAAAAGTGTGAAAATTCCGTTTTTGGTAATGGTGACACTAATTTGCATAAAAAATACATGTGGGACATACAGACAACATTTTAACATAGCTCATCATTTTCTACATACTTTTTCCACTTAGGAAACACTGTATATAAGTATATTTCTGTGTCGGTGCAAAATACACCGTTCTTGGTACAAGACTAAAATGCTATTTTCTTGTAATGGCGGCACTAATTAGCATAATAGCATGCCACAGACACATGTGATCACTTTAAGAATAGTTTTATTGTGTTCCTTGACCCTCAAAACATGGATCTGGATACCTTATTTGTTCAGTTATCTGCAATAATGGCTGAGATATAGTGAAAGGTGTAAAAAGAGTGAAACTCGATTTTTAGGGTAAATAAACACTAATTTGGGAAAAAAATATACGTGGGACAATTTGCCAACTTTTTAACATAGCTAATCGTTTTCTACACACTTTTTCCAATCTAGAAAAGCTGATTAGAAGTATATTTCAGGGGGGTGCATGATACCCCCTTCTACCCACCCAACTATATGTTCTAATCCCACTTTAGGATGTTGAATTTGCAACAACCCAAATGGAGCCAATGGTATTGGGACTCTATCTCGTGAAACACGAAGGAGCAGAACCCGGGGAACCACTTGCGGATGTTGGCGTCATCATCTAGGGTGTTGGAGTGCTGCGAGAGCTGAAATACTTGGCAAATGGATGGGCAGTACTGCTTGGACTGATTTACAGCCTCAATCTGAGCTACCCCAAGGACCTGAAACATACATTTGAATTCATTCAAAAAGTATTGATGGGGTTGGATGGCAACAGACTGTCAACCAAGGTGCAGGTTCTGAAAAACAGATTACAAGAGTAATCCCAAGGACAAAATACTGTGACAGAGATAACGTCCAGTTCATTTCCATCTCGGTACACACACACACACACACACACACACACACACACACACACACACACACACACACACACACACACACACACACACACACACACACACACACACACACACACACACAGAGAGAGAGACACCACAAACACACCACACACAGAGACACCACAAACACACACAGAGAGACACACCACACACACAGACACTCACAATTGTATTTCTGCTTTTGAAAGTTCAAGACATATGTTCATGTGTATAACAGAGGCAAAGATCTACTGTAACACATTATGTGCTTGAGCAATATTATGTGATGCGTTTCATCTAAGTGTTTGGAAAGACATAAAACACCATACTTCATAGTAAAGTTGCATTTTATAAAATATTCAGATAATAAGTCATTATTGTAGCTTTTCAGCCCACATGTTAACTTCTTGAGTCACTCGTGTTTCTCATCACTGTCAAGTTCAGCAGCTGTCATGGGTTTTTTACGCAAAGAGCTTTAAAATTCTAATATGTGCACCTACCACAAATGGGCTGTTGGAGTTAAGTGTTTTTTTGTTGTTGAATTGTTGGGGCAATTCAGATGGTTGTTTGCAAAATGCAATGTTATAAGTGTAAAATGAACATTTAAAATAAAGTGAGCGGAATACAAATTACTGAGTTGGAGTCATTTGAATTACTTATATTGATAGAGCAATTTGGATTAAATGATGTTAAGTGCAAATAACACAATCCTACAACATAAATGGAACTAATTTGTGTTAAGTAATTACAACCTAACTGTGTTAGGTAAATCAGTGCAAACTTTAAGTAAATACAACATAATTGTGTTAAGTAAAAACAACAATTTAAGTAAATTCAACATAACTGTTAAGCAAATACAACATAACTGTATGATGTAGCATTTAATTAAGATGCTTTGGTAAGATTTACTTGAAGAGCAGGTCGACCAACTGGAAAAGTATCACCATTCAAAAGCTTTCTGATGCGGGTCTTGAAACAAAGCAGAGAAATTATGACCGTTAGTGGCCACAGGTGCGAAAGCTCTCTCCAGAGCTACTGCAAGCCGAATCTCGGGGACCGGAGAAAGTGGAGCAATATTCTCTCCACGCCAAAGAACAGCCTAGAACAACCTCAGCCTATACAAGTAACCACGTAAGCCATGCTACTGATGCTGGACAGTTTTTCAGTGGGTGCACAATAAACGGCAACATACACATTAATGTAAATAAATAGCCAAATAATGGATCAACGCTCTCTGTCTAATATGTTCGCTAGCTGTTGTTAGTGTTGTTGCATAGCAACCACCTCGCACTATGTTTCGTGCAGAAGGCAACAGAGGGACTATTTTATTTTGAACATCATTATTTACTAATAAAAACTATATAATAATGAGCATATACCACGGCCTGTCGTGAGCTATTGCTTAATTATACGTTGTTTCCTGCAAATGACGCGTTTATCCGCCCGGTACCGGGGGGATGGTGTGTAACAGGTTAATTAATGTACATTACCTCTTTCTGCCGGCTCATCCATGTCGAGAGTTGAAACCATTGGAATTGATGGATTGGTTTTACGCAGTTTACGCAAAGCTGTGAAAATGAAGTTCCTCTTCAGTTTCGACAGCAATCGTTCCTTCGCTTTCATCGAAAGTTCGCTATGTTGCTCCATGTGCCTGTCTAACCGAGTTCCAGTTGAAGTACACCAAGGCACCGGGCAAGCTAGAGTTCTTACATTTACTCTTCCATGTGACAGCCTCATCAAATACGACCTCTCTCTCCCATTAAGAACACCGTGAGTGCCTTTAAGATGCTGGCTTAAGGCTGTGTAGGATTTAGAGCAAATCGGACAAATATTATTAACCATGTTAGTGTCTAGTATATGTCTTCTCCTCCGTGACATCTGCAAATGACATCTAGCTTTACCGTAACTTTATAGATAGGATTCTGTCGCGTCATAGGTTCACAGCCGTTGGTGCAAAAACAAATTTACAATCCACATCGGGATTCTTTCATGATTTTTTAATGGAAGCAAGAAACCAGTCCCATTCATTCTCTATGGCACTGTTGAACCAGAGCCGATGTCATATATATTTGGCCGCTGCCGCGAGTGGCGCTGTGGCGCACTTTTGCCGCTCTCTTTCAGTGAATGAGAGACAGACTGCACAGCGACGTAAATGCATACATCTTTTTCAACTCTGGACATTACGACCAAATTATAAGGTAAGTTAAGTTATATTAACATGAATTAACAGAGAAGCGACATGTAATGTTATGTTATCTGGGCTTTGTCTGACGTGTTTTAGTTTAAATATAAAATAAAATACGCTATAAAGTGGTCCGTGTTTCCTACGTGTATCGAGTCTAACGGTACTTTGGGATGAATTACATTGTTAATGTAAAGTTAATTCAACTTAAGCCGCTTAAAGTTCATGTGGTAGGATTTCTGTGTGAGTTTATTGTGTTTTTGTTGACTTGGTGAGGCGCAATTACCGCGAGTTACTTGTGGCGAAATCCTCCGTGCGCGTTTACATTAATGTATATTTAAATATATAAATGAACGCTAACTACCATGTAAGATTACCATTAACTCCCGTATTATTTTCCAATAAACCGGGGTTAGATATACTAACCCATCACTGTTACAAAACACAGCGTGGGGACAAGTTAACAGCAGTTTACTTTTGGATAAAAAAGTATTATGTATATTCAGCTGTGCCGTTGCCCAGACGGGGTTAAATATACATAATAGATGCAGACACACACACACACACACACACACTGCTAAACACCAGAACTGTTGAAACCACATCCATAACATTCATCTACTACTTAGTAATTATTTATCTAATATATCATTCAGCCTTGGCTGAGCTCCCTTTGTTAGTTAAAAGGGTTTGACCCATGGGGGAGGGGTAATGGAAGTGTAAATAGTTTCAACAAACACACAGCTCCAGACATACAGGAACAAAGATCAACAATATCTGATCCAAAGTAAAATAGCACTACATATATCATAGCACAATGTGAATGTGCAGACAGTTAAAGTCTGCTCTATATTAGACCCCACCTGTGAACATCATTAACTCACTGATATATATTTTCTTCTTGACAGATAAAATGCAAAAATCTTTTGGCTATCCCTCCATGCAGCCCCTGCTCTTCCTGTAAAGAGACTTGTGCCCCTACCAAAGGAGCTGATGTTTCTGATGCCGGAACCATCCGCCCCAACACCAACAGAGACCAACATCACTGTTCCAGGTGTGTATATGTTTGACTCTTTGCACCTTGTACAGTTTGCTGACTACAGTGAAGATGCTAAGCGTCATACAACATTATTTCTTTATTTTACTGTTGATAATAATGACATGTTTTAATATTTTCTATAGTGGCTCCTGAGATTTCTGCAGAGCCCTGTCAACCGACACTGCATCCACCAGCTGCACCAACACAAAGTGAGTAATAATAACAATACATCACATTTTTGAGGCACCTTCAAGTGTTTGAATTGTTTCTCATTTGGATGTTCCTTGCTAGAAATCATATTTTCACAAAAATCACACACATACACACAATATCGTAATTATTTGCCATGTTGTTTTATTTATTGTCTGCCTAGGTCAGCCATTAACCCAGGCCATCACGGTCCCCCAGCTGTCCTCCTCCTCCTCCTCCTCCTCCTCCTCCTCCCCTCCTCCTCCTCCTTCCTCCCTCCTCCTCAGCTTCCTGCCTACAACCAGGATGTCAGTCAGTGGAACTGTTCGCCTCAGCAGAGGACCTGGATGAAGACGGAGCTGGAATCCATGGGGCTCTGGCCAGGCTCCGTTCCTGTACGCAACCCTCTGAAGATGGTGTCATTGTGGCGTCGCCCTCCCCAGCCAGAGCTGATTGACAGTGTTGATGATCTTCCCTGCGCCAAGTATTTTCAGCTCCATCCCTTTTTCATCTGGAAGCCAGAAAATGACAATTTGATGGGACGGCTGAGGAACAACTACACTCTGCCGTGTATTGACGGCTGTGCTCAGCCTCAAATTGCCTCTGCTGGTGTTGGTAGGCCTCGTGTGATTGTCGGCATCACCGGACAGTACTACTTGCTGTCTTCAAGGCTCTGCTGCAAAGTCTGCCGGAAGAGGTGGTATGCCGACAACCCATCCTGGCTGGAAAAGCTCCCCAAGAGGTTCACCAACCTGCTGCCAGCAGTACTGACTTACAAGAAAGCCATCTGTAAGTCGGTAGCATAATTCAGTCTAAAACATATCGTCAGTTTAAAGCTGTTTTATTGTGGAAAAGCCCGGAAGTTCTCAGGAAATCAATGCCAAGCTTTTATTCTGAAAAATCCTTTATCCGGTTAGCTTGTGACTAATGTTGCGTTTTCTGAATGTAAAGTGAAAATGACTTGGAGTGTTACACACAAACGTACGGACTTTAACACTACATCGATAGACGTTAAGATATTATTACTGCTGAATATTAAATGAAGGTCTAGTCGATCGTAGTGTTTACAGATACGTGAGAAGCTATGACGTCAGAGGGAATTTCCGTAAAATAAGAACTGTGCCGGAGCGGAACCACTAGGACTTCTAAACTAAGTATTACAGCTGTTTATAAGGTATTAAATAGAAAGTCATGACAGAGATAATGAGGAGAAAATGCTTAAGGAAGTAGGCAGAGAATATCAATGTCGAAATAATCTGTGCTCTCGCGATATCGAACCGGCAAATGAGTAGGGGGCCACCCACTATTTGCACAGCGGGGGACAACGAGACGTGGATAAAAAGGCAGGACGAAAGATAACGCACTCTCTTCCCTTCGCTGCAGCCTCCCTCAAGACAACACCGGCTTTGTCTCTCCATTCACCATGCTTGTTCTTTAACCACGTTACTTAATTAAACTACCCATTTGAACCTTTTCAGAGACTCCATTAGTCTCGTTATTTTAAGTTTCTTTCCTGGGAGCGAGAAGATCACAAATTATCAACATTTGGTGACCCTGACGTGATATCAACACTGGGAGAGAAATCGCTAGTTTCGACGGAGATTCTGCCAACCAAAAGACACACAAAGGGCCCATATGCGAACGGTAAGGAGAAGCCAGTTATATCAAATTCTTCAATAGCTTATATAGAACCATTTAGATTTGTGTGTTTTGCGGCGAGCAGGACATCCTGAGAACAGCTGTTAATTTAATGTTAAATATAAATTTAAACCAAACCACGTGGCGTTGTTTTACAGCAAGCAGGGTGAGTCTATTTTCCTTTCTTTGATTCATTAACCAACTGCATGTTTTTTTAAACCAACTGCATGATTATAATGTGTGTGTTTTCCAAGCCGGATATATTAATGTGCTTTTAAGCCGGTATTTATATAATCTTTTTTAAAAAAAAATAATTAAAAAAATAAATAAAAATAAAATAAAATTAATAAAAAATAAATAAATAGATCCCAGATATTGTTCGGATGACATAGGATATTTGTTATCAGGAGCGAAGGTACTATTCAGTAGATTAGTGATTCATCTTTGATACATTTAAGGACTATATCCAACTACTTATTATATTGTGTTTGACGACTTATAGATGGACTCTTGTCGTTTTGTATATTCTCAAGACAGATGGTATCTTCTTGACAGAGAAATAGATGGTATCTTTTCTCGTTATTAGCAAGTTAAAGATGGAATCTTCTTGTTAAAGAGAGTTGATGGCATCGTCTCGTTTTTAGTCTCAAGATCAGATGGAATCGTCTTGTTTCATTGTCCCAAATAAGTGAGATGGTCTCTTGTTTAATTGGTGATAAGAGTCTGTGGAAGTCTGAAGTATACTCTTTAATCATTGCGTGTGCATTACGGAAAGAAATGCGGCATTCGTGCGTTAGATAGACGATATTCTTTTAATAGTGTTTGACTGGCTTCCCATTTGGTCGCATAATAGCGTGAGAGTTGCCCAGACGACCATAGGCTAAATAGTTTTGATGGTCTCTAACTATTTTGTATTAACTTGTTTAAATTGTATAGCATATTGAGAGTGTCGTGCTGTTATACTGCTCTGAAGTTTAGCCTGGAATGAGGTCTCCTTGTTGAGATCAACACCTCCAGGATTTCAACGCATCAGAGACAGCCATTCTTCTTGCAAAAAACTCTTTGTTCTGCAGGTCAGCATTTGAAATCAGTTGCCATCTTGTTTTGACCTCATGTTGACAAACAATGACATGGCAGTCGCCATTCTGTGAAATGCTAATTCAGAGGACCAGTTGTTGTCTTTTTGAAATCCATTCAGTTTCACTCACATGAGGCTAATTCAATATTCATGACCTCCATAGTGTGTAGAAAAAATCATTCTTCTTGAGTCAAAGTTGGAATTAGATATTCCATTTTGCTGAATCAGGTTATCTATACCGTTGGAGTTTGGTTTTTGAAGAAAAAGATTATTGTATTTTCTAAAAAGCTCAAATCTGATTTTTGAAATATTAGTCCTTGCAAAGGAGTTTTACCTGCTTATGCTTATACTGTGCGATGTGGTTTGGCTGTTTTATGCTTTGTCGATTAATCCTAAAAATTGTGTGTGCTGATGGCTGTTTTATGCTTTGTCCATTAATCCTAAAAATTGTGATTGCAAGTGTATTCGCTGGTTTAAGTTTGACTGTTTAATCATAAAGTGAATTTCTTTCCCATATCAAAAGTAGTTTTTAAGAAAATAAGCTTCTTGTTAAAAAGAAGTCCGTTTCTAGAAAAATTTAAAAGGGGGGGAAACAAAGCTGAAAAATTACAACAGCGCACTCTGCTGGTTGTACAGAATTGTGCACAAGAAATAGGGGTAAAAGGACAAACGTATAAATACAACACCAATTGATTATAATTATGCTAAGGTTTACTTTCAAGTATTATAGATGAACGCGTACTTCATCACACATAGATAGAATCACAGGTGGTTCCTGATATTAAGATAAGAAACCTTACATAAGTCTTTCAACCTAGACTGTAGAATACCTAAACACCACACAATTGAAGTAAAAACATAGTTTATGACATTAGCATAATTTCATGCACTTTGGAATACACTATACACAGTAAAGCCAGATTTTTACGAGATTTCTATTTGCATATTTCAAAGCCAAGCCACTGTACAAGGTTTAAAAAAAAAAAAAAAAAAAAAAAAAAAAAAAAAAAAAAAAAAAAAATTATTAAAAAAAAAATTAAAAAAATAAACACTTTTTTGCATATTTTTATATTTCTTTATTAATCTTAAAAAAAAAAAAAAAAAATCCCAGATATTGAAGTTAGGTTCGGATGACATAGGATATTTGTTATCAGGAGCGAAGGTACTATTCAGAAGATTAGTGATTCACCTTTGATACATTTAATAACTATATCCAACTACTTAAGCAATATGTCGCCAAAATACACTAAGTTAGGAGCACCCGCAGAGCCAGGGTCAACTGCAGACATCAAGGCAAAGGTACATGTCAGATCAGATGCCACAACACATGCATCAGACAGACAAAAGAACTGGAAACAGATACAGGAATTGTTTGATCAATGGCAAACAAGAGGGTTGATTCCACCAGATGATCAACCTGGACCAACAAAAGCCCATAGAAGAGCAGTACTCGACTATGAACAGGAACAATGCCTACAACAGCTAAATGTATGGAGGGAAGCTGAACAAAGGTTTATAAGAGTTACAAGTCTAATACTCCATCTGGAATATGCCAGCCTATTGACAGACAGCATAAATGTGGTCCAAGTAGCAGACCTACCAGTGAGGGAAGACATAGCAGAAAAAACTAAAGACGCTCAAGTTATCCAAACTCCAAAGCTGTATCTAAGCCTGGCCGAAGTCCCTCCTCCCTCCCCAAATGTTGGATTTATAGAAGCATTGCAGTTCAATGGAGTCTCCACGGACAAAAGTGTCAAAGAATTGGAGTATGAAGTAAGAGTGCTAACCAGCAAATCCAAACAGCTGATGGAAGAGAACATACGATTAGAAGAAATCACAGAAGAAAGACGACGAGAAAGACAAACACAAAAGACAGAGCGGGAAGCGCTACAGATAAGACTTTTGAAGATGCAAGTAGCTGAGAAAGACATTGAGGCTTGTAGGAAGAAGACGAGGAGAAGGGAGGAGAAGCTTTCAGAGATAGCCATAGAACCAGAGAAGGCAGGGCGAACACCTCTAACAGTTCAAACTCAGGAAGAACCAGAGAATCAAATGCAGAACCAACAAAGCGGAGGAGGAAGTTTCAGAGGAAGACGTTTCCAGAATGGTGGCTGCTACACATGTGGTCAGACGTCACATTGGTCCAATGCATGTCCCACACAACTCCAGCAACAGCAAGCACCTGTGTATCTTCCTACCCAAGTACAGCCACAAGCACCACAGTATCTTCAACAGCAAACACCTGCATATCTGCCTACCCAAGTACAGCCACAAGCACCACAGTATCTTCAACAGCAAACACCT